TGAATAATCTCAGTTTCCTGTGTGTTATATGCTAATGTTTTAATACTTGAAAATAGTTCATTGTTAACTTCATAATGCTCAATACATTCAGAAGAATTCTAGTGGGGTTTTATATACTGGGTTGAATAGTTTGATCGTAATGTTTTTATTGTCCTACCAGACAAAACATTTACAACAGTAGCAATGCAAACTTCAAAAACAAGTGAGCTATGTGGAAAGATTTTCAAAAGTGATGACCAGTTCGTTAAGTTGATGACACCGTAACACGACCACGTAGTCTCAGGTTGGTTCGAGCAACTGGGTAATATCCCTGGCCATGACGAAATAGAGGTTCGAATAAACGACATAAGACGTGGTTAGATGCTGCCACTAATTATACTACTACTGTTTATTTTGATTCACTTTTTCCTTAAACTTAGTTTTAACGATGTAGTTGTTTATCATTAAGCGGCAGATTGGATTTGTTTTATTATACCTATTAACTGACGATTACCATAGTTTGCGGAAATTCCCTAGCCTTCGTTCTATGAAAATTTCAACATTATCCTAATAGAACATGTGTGTTCGCATAGGTTAGTATGACTGAAGATATGTTATGATGTTTGCCACACTCAAATGGTATTCACGTAAACTATTGACTTGGTTACTTTGTTCGATTCAGTTATGACAGTTTATTTTGTAACACGTGGTGTATGCTACTTATGCCTGCTGACATAAGTAGTATGTTACACCGAGTGGAATTTCTGCGAGCTAAAGATCGAGAAGATTGGAATGAAAAGAGAAGGTAACTGAAAGCAATCAAAATAACAGGAATAAAAGAACAATGAAACTTGTAAGGGAAAATTCAAAGAGGATGTACGAACGATGTGTTTGATTCTCACGTTTCGCTAAACTACAGTGTGATTTTGCATTAAACAATAAATTGGTTGTCCCGGCCTGAGTTCTCGTTCTCTATATTATTATAATTATTTTTTTATTGTTAAGTCCTTTAATCTACATATGGTTTACTTGAACTATTATAATTTCGTGAACAGTTCCTATTTCCTGAATTCATCAGAAATCCGTCCTTAATTTCTCATGGAAGAGTGCACAACGACGTAGCTGTATGAAATCGTTTTTTAAGCTATGAATCTGAGTTACTATTACTGATTTCAAGTCATATCAATTAAATTATAAAGTCGTAAGCTATGGCTATATTACAGGTCTTAAGTAATCCGTCTCGCTCAGAATTTCTGGAGATTAATCTGATTTATAGGTTTGATTGGTTCCAGATCAAACAGTTGTTCCATGCCCCACAGTTTCGATCGTTATTCCAACTGAGACCAGTCTATGAGGAATACTAACTGTAACATGTTGTTTACATGAAAAACCTAGAGGAATGCTATATAAATGCAGTTAATCGATTGTGGAGGAAAAGTTGATATTTAATCAAAATATATGTCTCTGTCGTCGTGTGAAATAAAATGAACATAATTTATCAGCGTTTATTCATAAGAAGATCGTGAGTATTGAGGAATTTTTAACACAATAAATAGTCCTGTTAACACAAGTTCAGCTTAACCTCTAAAACTGGAGTGTCAGCTTCAAAGACCTCCAGAGTTGATTTCTCAAGCCTTACTGCTCTCCTCTTCAACTTATATATGATCTTTTCTCGTTGAGGTTATGTGTGAATGCTGGGTAACTTGAGGCTAGTCGAACTGTTCCTGAAAATGTTCCACCCATCTGTCTATTCTCTTGAGCTGAAAATCCATAATGGTTCCAACTAGTAAGAACCAATTTTCACGCTAGTTAGCACACGTTATAAAGGCACGCCCACAGACTTGATGGGACTGTCGCTTCGTGTCTTAATTAGGAATATTGCGAATGAGCTCTTGTCACCTCGGTCGGTCATGATCTAATGTCACTGATATTCAGTTATATTACATCATGTTCAATAGCATTAGTTCAATGCTAAAGACTGGACATGACGTTGGCGATTACTAAGTGACCAATTTGTGTATTATCATTTTCCTTGACCTTGAATTTGGTTATCGTTTCCCTTACTAGTTGATGGTTTGTTGCTACGTCAGTAAACATACTGTACATCAAACGGCTTGAGTGTTTACAACATGTTGTTTTCCATAAGTCTTTATTCGTAGCAGAGAAGTAACTTAGTGCTTAAAACACTGCTTTCAACAATTAGGTCGCAGATTTGAGTTCACCGGTTGTCATGCAAACAGTATAATGGTCCAAAGCTGAGTAAATAAATCTGTGTTTGGTAAATAAGTTGTATTACATTATCCATAAATAATTCTATCCATTATGTTGTTCAGCTAGTCATTTGTGAACTTTCCTCAACGGTATAGAAAACACTGGTTAAGTGGATTCTCACATTTAAAAAGTACAGTTCTTTATTGTTTATAGTCTCCAATCATTGATCTATAACCGAACCCACCTTTGATATCCGTTTCCTCCATTTATCACCTTACGCATTTGAAGCCTACATTTGTGGTCATTTTCAGTTAACGACACTTTCAAATTGCGTTTTTGCTTTCCGCACATTTTGATGATTCATTAGCTGGAGCACCGGTCAATATAGAAAATCTTACCATTACCTTAGTGTAAAGTTACGTAATTTTATAAACACTTTTCAGCTTAAAAATAAATATAAGAATCAAATGAAATTAACAAATAATGAACGTATTCATACTAGTTGCGGGTTTGCGGAAATTATCGAATGTCAAGTAAACCATGAACCGATCTAAGTTGAACAACTATTGTAAACCTGAAAGGACTGGACTGAATAACTTGGATAGCGACTCAGACCTGACATTCAAGGTAGAAGGGTTGTAGAGCACAAAATGTAATAATTTTTATACTATTCTGAAATATTTGTCCCCATATCCACCCATATGAATTCTAAATCTGACTGAACCACACTGGATTGCTTTAATAAGGTGATACGTCACCAACAGATCCGTGAATGGGATGGAGTTAGACATTTACACCGATGGGTGTCAACTCAATGATCGAAAGGTTAAGCATTCGCACCAGAAATTGAAGGTTCTGGGTTCGATCGGCGCCTGGGGGATCGTGAGTACGTACTTCCGGGGAGTCCTATACTAGGACGAAGCATCCATCCAGTGTTTCCGTGTTTTCAGTGGTGGTTTAACTTAGTTCGATTCATAGTTTTAAGATATTTTGGCTACATACAAAATTATTCTAAATCTTATGTTTAAAGAAAAATCCCAAATATTGATTTAGTTGAAAAAAGGCAAGTTGGAAAATCCGAATACATTTTTTACGTTTACTTTGAGGTTTGCGTGTCCTACGCTCAATTTCCGATGGGATTCTGGATTTCTCTCGTTGACAAAATCGACCATTGAACGAAACACACTTATCCTATTTCCCTAACTTACGCTGGTCCTCCGAATGATATAAGTCTGCGAATACTATTTTCCTTTTGTGAATTAACATTCAAGTTTGTTAATCAATAGTCCGAAAAAATTACTCAATTTCGTGTTTATTTTCATATCACCTTGTAATAGCTGACAGTTCTATTGGTTTTCTTGGACGTGATGTAGAAACTTGTTTACTGGCAGCTCCATCTATCAGGAATTTGGATTTACACTATGAATTAGACTATTTCTGTTAATCATTAAAGTTTAACCTAGAAGTAAGTTGAACATTGTTAGCTCTCATTATTATGATTTTTAATTCATTATTAACTAATGTATAACAATCATTTTCAAGATGAACTACTGAGTAGAATACATCAAACAACTGTTTCAGTGGATATTCTACATAAACTTTTTTACAGAATAAATAGCTTTATGCATTCCAAATATTGTAGTGTTAAAATTAATTTAAATAAAACTGACGGCCTAATTGATATTTGTATCTTTCAGGTAAACGTAGTTTTATCTTAGAAACCAAAGTAACACTGACAGTGAATCAATGATAACTTCCATTTTTATCAGCCAATCTCTAAATAATGCAATGTCGAGCTACCTCGGGGTGGATATCACTTATATAGTTCACTAATTGCTTCTCTAGTTGTTTCTGAGATATATTCTTGACTTTTCATCATCAAGTTGAACTTGAAGTGGTTTTCTTACTGTGGCTTATTCGCGTACAGTAAGACGCAAATACGTGCTGGAACCAAACCATGACTCGAATCTAAACATAGGCTCCAGAATGAGCGAGCCTTTTGTCGAGCTTCTCCACTGATGGTTGATGCAATGTGATCTATTTGAGTCCATCATTGAGTTGATTTTGAGGTCACCATGTCAATGTTTTCCTTATGTTTAAAGTTAGTGTTTATTAAAGAGAAACGTTATCTGAGCATAGCTGCAGCAGATGACCACCATCATCTGTTCTTCGAGCCGCAATACTGTACGATCTACCTGAGTGACTTTTGTTTTGGTTTAGACTACCTACTTGGGTATTAAAATCACACGCCACTAATAATACATTTGGGCATCCAGCTTATCGAAAAGTGGAAAGCTTCCTGTAAAATCTACCTTTTACTTCATCCGAGCTACAACTAGTAAGAGCGTAAACACAGACAAGGAAGAGGCAACGACGTGTGTCTTTACCTCTCTGAGTTCTTACTGTCCACTTTGGTCAGACAACGCACAAGAGACTGTCTATCAGAATTCAGTCTAAAAGAAAGAAATATAACTCAGTAATCGATCAGTAATTTTATTAGTTCTCACCAACATTTGAAGGTTATCCTGCATAATGTACTGGTAAATGAGGAATAATAATTGTAAGTATTCTTTGATACAATGACCGCGAAATATGAAGATTCTTAATTTCATTTTGAAGATGTTTTGAGGGTATATAGTGTTAAGGGATGTTGGGCTAGAATAGAAAAACTGTGTAGTGCTATTTTATTTCAGCTGGTTACGTTTGCGCATAAAACTTATTTTTGTTCGTCGGAACAATGTTTATCAGTAACATATTTGGATTCTTTGTACATAGCATGAATTGTTCGACAAATTCTTCAAGAGATCTACCGCGGCGTTTGGTGATATTTTATAAGAAGTCGGAAAATTTATTACATGTTGGTAGTGTAGACTTAACGAATTGCAGGTAGCAGCTCATTTTAAATGGTTCAAGTTTCAGTAATGGATGGTCCACGGCCAGGGTGAATGGTCAGCTTTGTTTTTCGAAACATTAAACATGTGGAGTTTTTTGTTTGACAGCAGTCGACTAACTGTGTGTAAGATTAGTAGTAAACTAAATCTAGGTGGACCATTTGTGCATATAATTCTACAATAATTCTAGAAGACGAAGCCAGTCTCATCTTTTTGAGTTCAAGAAATATTTCTAATAACGGAAACGGAGATGGGGCAGCTGTATTGTTACAAATAGGGAAGAGGAGTAAGACGGATGTACCATGAATTTCCGTAAAATGAAGTTTATACAAAAGTTCGCATGTTTGTTTGACAGATTACGTATTCAACTTATTGCAAAACGTAAGTTTATTCAGATTATATATATGGCTAACATAGAAAAACAATCGAAGCATTAAATTAAATTACAAATAAGACATTGATGAAAGGACAACAAAATAAATGCATTGACATTATCCTTTACAATACGAAAAAGTCATGATTTATTCAACTGGAATATATAAACTTCATTCTAATTTGTGTGTGTCGTTTTCTGTTTTATTGGTGTTGTTGCTATTATTATTATTATTATTATTATTATTATTATTATCATTATTATTATTATTATTATTATTATTATTATTATTATTAAAAGTGTTCATTTTCTGTAATTCCTCCTGTAGGAGAACAATTCGTCTTCTTATATCATTCTTAATATATTCATTATTTTCCGTCACCTCTTCATTCTTTTGAATAAGCTTAAACGAAAAATTAATAAATAGGAGAAAAACAAATAAACGAACAGTAGTAAAGGCGTAAAAGGAACAGTAATCCGTGTTTTTTGAAGGTTACAAAACCGACAAAGAATTGTTACAGTCTAACCGGTAGGGAATTAAATGCAAATTAACCATACACAATTCTATGTAGTATAACATTATGTGTTATACCTTAGTATGTGTAAAAGCTAGTGATGCTACCTAAGCTGCTTAAGTTGAAGTAGCGTTTCAAGCTTGTGACTTATTGATTGAAAATCAGATGTCTTGACCACTATTTGATCGTTTCACATGTGATTTTTCTCATAGTAGCAGTTAAAGAAACTACATCTACAAGTAAGAAGATGCAGTTAACGTACGTTTAAACTGTAACACAACCGTCTGTATCATTACATCACATCTCTGTTGGAATATCAAGATTTGTACTAAAAATCCGTTTGGGATACTTATAGAATGATTTAGTATGATGAAAATAATTTTAAAAAATAAAAGTTTATTCAAATTTAAACTTGTTGTATCGAATACTATGTATATTCATGCGGTAATAACAGTTGGATTATCAGTGTAATCTCTGTATAGACTTAATAATGAGCAATAAGCTTAAAATATACGTCATACATATGATACATTTTGATTGCTAATGATTTGTATCTGATTCCTAATAAATAAACCCAAAATTTGTCTACAACAAACTACTGTAATTGTTCTCATTACGAGGTATAATCCAACTTGGACTTCATTAGAGTGGTCGTTTTGAATTTACGAAACAAAGTAACAATCTTTTATTCCAAAGCTTTGGATCAGCACCTTAGTAATTTTATGATCCTTACTTCGGTTATACGCTAAAATATCATTGTTAATTAGCAACGAGAATCCTATCACGTGATATACTCTGTCACCAACAAGCAAATAAATATCTTATTTTTACTGCAAGTGGAAAAACTTGAAAAAAGTCAGATGGACCTTTTATACTCCTTGAACTTAAGCGATCAGGAGAATAAAAATAGTCAAGTATCTTTTTAATCACGGAGTGATTCGGAGTGAAAAGTAATAATATGGATAACATTGTTGTTGGGGTAACTACCATAGCGGACTTCCTCCAAATCTATTTCTATAGTTATCAATAGGGGTGATCACATTTCCTCACTTTCCTGGTAACTCATTTACCAAGTAAAGGTTTATGTACTCCGCTTTAAGCTGTACTGTATGTGTGAAGATCAATTATACTACCCGAACGGCGAAACTTAAGTAGATAAAGTGAGATGTGGACCTGAGACCTAATAGCTGAAACACAAGGTTTACAGGACCTTTAGGTATTATAAATATTCAGTGCTGAAAGTTTCACATGTTAACTAAATGGGATGGACTCGTAAATAATAAACTCCCATCTTGTACAAAGTTATGGAAGTAATGAATAATTCTTGATAAACTTGGTAAACGATAACTTACTTGAATCCGTATAATAAACCTGCATGTTAGCATCAAACATAAAACAATGAGATTAGAAGCTTCTTTTAGTCCATCTGCTACGCGCCATATACTAAATAGATGGAATAGCATAAGACTAAGTAGTATAACATTGCTGACATCCTGTGCAATCCCAGAACAAGCTGCAAGTACAATACCACCGACAACTTCAGTCGTTCCATAAACTCGTCTAATTACATGAGGATTCGGATTCCACCCAGTAAACGAACTAAATGGAAACGTCTTGAACATCCTAATGAAGTTTTTTCTCTGTTAAACAGACTAAGTAAGGTTTTTTCTTGAAAATAATTTACCACACTGCGATACAGCTCATCGGAAAATAATGGACCAAGCTTTAACGTCCCAAAGAATACGAAAAATACTCCTACCGCCACAGAAATCGCAGTTAAAGCAGTACTGGACATTTTTCACGATAATAACGAATGCACTAAATTCCGAATAAGTAGTAAATCTGGAATGTAAAGAAGAAACGTTCATCAGATTCGTGATTTGGATTGGGACTACGACTAACAGAAATGATTTTATGAACTTGAAAAGAGAGAAATGATTTGAGCAGAACGCGAATTTGTTTTATTTAGTTTGATTCTTATCAGCTGCTCACACCATTTTCTTTTAGTTCATAATCTTACTTTCAAATGATTGACCTTGACTCAATTAATCCTTCACTGTCGTTGACTTGTATTTTATTACTTGACTACATATCCACCCAGTCGCAGCTTTAAGTCTTTTTTAATGCCCAGACTGACGCCCTAGGACCTTCTTTTACATTTCTTATTTTCAGTAATTTGTATTCAGATGTTTTCTATAGCACGCTAAATTTTCCCCGGCCGTTGTTGATAGCTTGACGTGGTGATCGGGCTTGCCTATCGTGATGAACCAATCGAGCTATGCTGGCTGGAACAATCGTTCCTCGAAGTCCTACCATGACAGACACGTCGGTTGAAGAGAGGTAAGACTAAAAGCATCAAACCCAAGGTCTGAGGGCGAAGTCGTACTACTGACTGTACAGACGTGTGACGGCAGTAAGGTGTTTCCTTCAGACAACCAGCATGACAGTGGTACTGCATTCCTACAAGGAGGGGTGGGGTTAGAAAAGGTCGACCCTAAAAATACACACCTCGCCTTATCCCACGGATATCCGTCTTCGGCGATAAGGTCTCAACAAGTACGGAGCTAACATCAAAACTACTCACAAAAAGGTCGTGTGTGATCGGCCTCAAGCAGTTGTCTCTTGGGCACGCTCGCGGTCACGCTCTCAGGTCACTAAGACCACCTCTAATTCAATTTCCTTTTCAGGTACCGCCAGAATAACCCTTCCACGGTGTGAGCAACCGGGAAGTGATAACCGCCCTTACACCTCTAACAGAACTTAAGACCACTGTATTCATAATCAACCTCCCTCTTTTATTTTTTACTATGTTTACACTAAATTTTCATCAGCTTCACTTCTAAAAAATATAGTAACTTATTTAAAAACTAGTTTCCAAGATGTTACGACTTGTAACCAGCGTAACGAAGTAAAACTAATTCATGTCCATCTACTAGAACTGTTTTTTTCTTCAAGGAATAATTTTAACATCAGGGAAAATCGCTTGACAAAGAACTCTACTAAAAATGAAGCTAAGAATAATGTCTGGATTTACAGGAAATAGTTCTATTTCCTTCACCAACACATTGGGTGTTATTTGCTACTGCAAAACACTTACAAACGATTTGCTGACCGTATTACAAATTGCTCTTGAAAGGCAGGAAAACCACAGTAGTGTTTATTACGACTCACCAATTTATGAGTGAAGCAGTGACTTAGTCTTTAGAGCACTTGACTAGTGACTACTAATCCCCAGGTGTGAATACAACTCCACCTTTTGTGTGGGTAGCTAAGTAGTCAGTCCGTTACGCGCAACGTAGTATGCGTGTGTACAGTGGTCCAAGTAGTCATACCGCCTGATCACAGAGAGATGTAACTTTTTAGGGTGAATTCCAGAATAGTAGAGATACTGGTAATAAAAAATATTAGGCATCAGAGATACCACTAAATAAGATAAAAACTAGTGAAATTTAAAAAATTATGGGAATGGATGCACCTGCGCCATTCCAAACGATTCTGACCCAACCAAAGTCTAACGATAATCACGCGGGCCCCAACGAGGTAGTCTACACCTGTTGAAATGGCTCAGTCTAATTGTCAGTGACTTCGCAGACTGGTCCCGTCTTAATTTGACTCCCCTAGCTTTCTTCCACCCTACTCCTACATTACACAACGCCGTCCATCGAAGTAGGTGGTGGTTGATTATTCGTAACACATATACCAACAAACCCAGTTGATGAAGATTTATTGCCTCGTCAATCGGTTTGCAGTATTTATCTAGTGAACTATCTCTAACTTAGTGGTTCCAAAATACACGAGCTATGCTTCGAAGACATTTATGATCGGATACTAATAACCTAAGAATATCCTGTTTTTAAAATCCATGTTTTATATCCAAGAAGTAAGAACGAACTGCTGAACAGCAAACTTGTCCTTTAGTTGGCAGACGAATACCTCGCCTACGTCGTAAGGGACGCGTGTTGGCGAAAACCAACCGGGCTTTTAGCATTCATGCGGAGATTTCATTAAACACTAGAATTGATGAAACTCTCGAGATAATTGAGTAGAATGAACAAAAGTCCTATCTTGTTCTGAGATAGACTAACCAACAGCTGGGTTTTAAACAACCCTTCCCTTTTCATCTTAGAACTCAGACAGCCCATGTTAGCCGTTTTAAATAGCGATCAGATTGAAACATGTATCTTTTTAACTCTTAGTCCTTGAAAACATGATGTCCAACAATGAATACAAAATCTGAACTAAAAACAAGCGTCAAACGAACGATGAAAACAAATTTACTGATTTACGATTTATTTGCATTGGCAACTAGATTTCATAGCTACAATATGCGTAACTCAGTAGTTCATGTAAGCAATTTTTGTGGCTATCATAAAATCCTTTTATAGACATTGGAAACAATCAGTATGGACGTGCTAAAGGTATTATTTTAGCAATCCTTAGTGAACTACATATGGTAAACAAACAGGTAAAAGAACCTTTTTCCTTCTGACTCCTCCAATTTTCAAATAATTAAACTAGGGATGAATTCGACTTCTTTGAAAGTCGTATTAACGGCTTTCCGTCGTGTTATCATTTCCTGTATGTTAACTGATGGGAGCTTTTCTTTAGTTTTTGGATCAGAGTCGTCTGATTTGAGCAAATTACTCACAATAACATCTGACGAGATCAAACTTTTCCCAATCACCCTACGGTCATTGTAGTAGTATTTTGGGAACTTCGCGCAGTATTCTGTAACTCGGAATGGAAATCTGCCGGAGACTTATCAACCAAACGGACACTGTCTGTGGCTATTTTCCTTACCCTTCTTTGTTTCCCCACTGCCGTCCATTTCCCCTCAGTTGTGACAGTCAAGTCGGAACTACTTGAGACGGTGACGGTCTTATATGTGTCTACAGTACCACCTTAAAACCGTGATCACAAACAAACAGCAACACTTCACTCTTCATTTATTTTAAAATATATTTGCCTTTTGCATGTTTCCCAGTTGGGTATTTTGCTCTTTCCGTAACACCATTAACTGCAAACAAGTTCTTCGCAGTCAGTACTCATGTTCCGAGACCAGCCCCTATAAAAATTCTTGCTGACCAACGCGAGAAGGCTAATTGCCTCTTGGATCTGTAAAGAAGTAATCGGACAGCAAAACACACAAAGCCGATGGGAGTTAGACTTCGAATATTTTTTGTATGCCGTGAGATTTACACGGGCACACATCTTGTGGAATCTCTTTTTGGAAGCCATCACGATGCATTCCATCCTCCATATGAGAGTAGAGCCAACTGTTGCGAGAGCATTTAAAGAGGAAAGTCGACAAAATACATGAGATAATCACTATAGTGATTATCACACCATAATGTGATAATCAACTAAAAAAGTGCCACAAAACAGATTTGGAGAAAATCCCAAATCTTGGACGAAGTAATTTAGGTTAAATTGGACCAAGTATGCTTCCGATGTAATAAATACATAAAAGCAAAGTTATAACTTTGTTGTGAACTTTAAGGTTCACAACAAGTGTGAAATCACTGACCTTTTTTAACTGAGCGATCAGGTAGCGCGTATAGTGTACTTACATTTATTACGGAAAGCAAATGACAACAATTAGCAATAACACTAGCCTCAGATTAAAACGGTCTTAAAATAAAAGGTAGAATCTGATAGTTCAGCCGCTTCCGAAACCAGCGGGCAATCGTACAGTTCAAGTGTTCCGCGTCAGATTCAGGAGCAATGTAAAAAATAGTTTTTGACGTTTTTGAGCACGTGAAACGTGTGAGCGTGTGTATTTTCGAATCGCCGTTTCTCGGCTCAACGCTGTAATTCGTCTATTCTGTTCATTTATGCGCGTTTAAAGCAGTTTCAGCTCGTACTTTGTGGCAAATAACAATAGTCTATTTTAGGGTTTATGCTCCATTTGTGAGATTGCCCAATATAAGGAGTTCATAATGTTGCTGTGGCCTTTTGTTTCATGATAACTATGTTAAGCTCACATCCTTGCATTCTTAAAACCAAAATTTGTACCATGATCAATTACTTTTCAAATCATATACATCTGGCTTAATAACATTCGTATGACACCGCCGATGGGTTGTTTTGTTTAAAATATAATTTGTATGAGATTAGCTCGACAAAATATGGTCTGGGAACCTCCTCAACTTCCTGTTATATGAACAAAACTGACATAGAAACTACCGTATACGCAATTTGTAGCCAGACTAACAAAACGCGTGATCTGTTTTTAGACAAGTGCGGTGTGGTACGTTTTCAGAAATGAGACGCCTGATAAGAAGATTGTGAACTTTAAGGGGTGAAATTTAAACCCCATTTGAAATAATTTTTTGGCATATTTTTGGCTCATTAAACGAACAAAATTCTTCAAGCAATATCTGTGGTTATATAACAACGTGCTCAGTAGGTATGATACAACAAGTACTGATATAAAAACAGAAAATATGTCGATAAACTTAGTATCTTACTTATGTGTAAATATCATCTGTCTGCACAACTATCTACATGTTCTAGACAATACAGTGCAAGTGCCTCTCCGTTTGTCAACTGCTGCCCAAAAAGACAAACATTTGGAAGGCCTACATTTTTCCTACATCATTACGTCAACCCAGTCTACAGCTATCAGAGGAATCTGTCTGTGTTTACATGAAGTACTCGTAACGTCAATTGCCAGATTATGTTCATGTGACCTGCTTGAATCCGTTCAACTTACCAACTGTCTTCATAATAAATATCGGTGTGTCAGATCAAAATCATAAATATAACCACAAAAAGGGCTGTCCCATCGGAGGGAAAAAACGTAAGATGGGTTAATAAAAGTTGGTTATAATCATGTTGATATTCAGAAAAATATTACAGCCCAAGTATTTATTTACCCCCCTCCTATTTACGTAAACATTATATACCCTATTATTTCATGCTGATGAACAAAAACAGATGATGATGTATGCAAATTACATGAGCCATCTAGGTCTAGGCATCAACCATTCATTCTGATCAAACGTATCTTTTCACCTCTTCTCATGTCCGAGTAACTTGGAATCGGAGGACATCTTACATGGGAGCGAGTTTCGTGTACAGAAGTAACACCTTAGCACGCGATAGAACCACTGTCCTCCTGAATCAAATACCTACCCAATAGACAGGTCTGTTGGCTATGATATGTCTGTATCCTTCCGTAGTGGGCCTAGGGGTATTATTTTCTTATGTTAATCGATTATTAGCAATGGTATTACATGTACGCTTGTATGATAGAAAAAATCATAGCCCCTGAGTGACTTAAAAAAAACTAAAACTTCTTTACTATAATGTGCATATTCACATCAAATTTAGAAAGTGGTTAGTCAGTAACGTTCGGATTATGTCGCCGACTCAAAGACTTCGATTATCCCTGGTTGACGTGTACTCAGTACCTGCAGTTATAAAAGAGGTTATAAAAAGCGTTCATCACAAACTTAAAGGTATGTATTTAATCAAATTAGCTGATAGATCCAACTTTCGGAAGATTCACATTGGTATTATTTCTTCACGTAACGACCCATTTGAACACCCATCTATGCCTAATATTTCTACACTACATCTATTTCCTTCTGGGTTACCGGTACTCTCTGCGAGACCAGAAATTTATATAGAACCGAGCACTTATCACTTGTACATGCACATTTCTTTGTGTATCTAGACATTTTGTTCGAATAATAAAGCGATTTCTCAGGTTTGACTTTCTTTATCTACTTGTTCTTAGAAAATGGATTCTTTATTTTTGACTTTGGGATGGCTAAACAGGTAAGTGAGTAAACACCTAAAATTGCCACAGATATTCCGATCTTGACAACATCTTTACTCGTACCACCTTTTAATCGAAGTACACCAAGTCAGTCAAATCAGAATTCGGAGATAATGGGGTTCGAAAATATTCTTAGAAGGCGATCGACACGTCGACATGAGTACGGTCTAAGCTGGTTGTTAGTTGCGTGAGATGTGTGGCACGGCGTGCCCACTCGTGATCTAATGCGTATGAGTGACCGAGTGCCTTCAGTTAGGGTGTGTCCAGCAGAATTAACGAGGTCGACATCAGTGTGGAAACGTATAGAACTATTTAACTTGGGGGTTTGTTTGCCGGTGCACACGTGATAGTTGAACAGAGCATGAGAAAGTCGTACCTTACCCATGTGGTGTTAGGTAGCCTATTTGCGGCACTTCCTCATGCATTCTTGTTTCATTTCCTTACCATCCATTCCCTTCATCTGATTCCCACGCAGAGGGCAAGTACATCAAGTCATGTGCGATAATTTACGGAAAGAAGTTAAATGCTACCGAGATAAGATGGCAAGTTTGTAAGGTATATGACGTCTATAGGTTATCTCTGAATACTGACTGGGTGGTGGTCGTCATTGGTTATAAAAGTAAGAAGGTCAAAAACTCAACGAGTTAGTAATTCTCAATTAGGTTACGGAAACCGAAATGAAATGTTTTGTTTAATAAATTGGCTGAAACGGCATTCCTATGGACTTCGATTGTAAGAGGACACTGACGTAATGAAATAAGTCGGGTGTTCAACGGTTGTCCGAAAACATCTTGATAATGTCGTAACATTATGGCCCAAGTATTTACTTGCTCCCCTCCCCTATTTGCGTAGAAATTATATTCCGTATTACTTCTTATTGAATTGTGAAAAGCTTTCTGTGTTCAAAAAAGTAGACTTCGAGCTTTAATTGTTTCGCTATAAGATTTGAATAAAGATACACTGAAAACGCTAACCTCGATCCTTCTGTAAGAGACAGTGACCAACACGAAAAGTGCAGTGACAATATTTTAGGTAGACTAATACTGAAATATTCATTCCATATTTCCAGAACAGTTATAATGATGAACGAGTCCTATATAATGGGATAATATAGCCTTCTTGATCAAAAAAGTGCAGATATTATAATTTCTGAAAAGATCCACTTGTTAACCTGACCTTTTTAAATACATCTAACGGAGAGCTTGTTTCAAGTCTGTTACAATCATTAACAGCTTGGTGTTAAAGTCAGTCAATGTGTAACCTCTCAGTAGATATTTTTGAGGTGCCGTTCTGAAATTCGGGAAAAAAACAAGCAGCTGTAGATTCTCAAACAACTTACAGGACATAATCGCCTTACACCCTTAGACACGATTGAGAGATTCAACTTGATTCAACTGATCTTATATCCTCTGGAAAGTCATAGACTTGTAGCGTGGTGTCGAGTTGAGCTTGACTATGAACACCACTACAAGACTACGTGCCAATTAACCAATAAGATCCCCGTAGGCCAATATCAGAAGGCAGATGATGGCTGTAGTCGAGATGTATTTGTTGGCGATCTCGTGGTATCGAAAGAATACCGAGATCGTGCCAAAGGAGTACAAGCGTGGTTACTGAGCGTAACCGAATTCGTACAAGTTCAAAGTCAATGGAAGAGTAAGTGTAATGGCTGTCATTAGCATAGTTAAACAAACGAGTACAGTAAAACAGTCACTGGTACAATTGGTTATAATAATAATTGTCTTCATTGAACTAATCGCGTTCTGTTGACAAAAGTAGGTCACTACAGGAGCCCCCCGCTACAAAGGGTTTACACTTTCGATAGTTAGCGGTTTGATTCGTGGGACTGATCGGCAAAAGTGCGGTTGTAGGACGGAGGAATTTGGCGGAACAGGAAGTGATCGTTGATCCTCGAGTTGCCAACGAAAGTCTTTTGCGCAGAACGGTACCAGGAGGAGTGTGCTGTATTTGTTGGTCGAATTAGCATGCCACACCAGAGTGGTTTGTATCCAGGATCTGATGATTGTGTTCGTAGTGATGCGAACCAGAAAACGCTGCAGACGTAGGACGAAACCACGTTGAGCCAAGAAACCGGACGCGACCATAACGACCAAGATTATGCCAGGCGAATTCGAGACCAGATAATCGACTGAGTGCGTTAACTATAGCGTGGGTGGCCAAACCAGCTTTTGCCAAAGTTGACTGAAGTCAACGTTATCAAACGGGCGATGGTCGGAGGCGTGGGTTCAGGATACAAAAAAAAATCAAAAAAAAAGAGAAAAGTGTAGCATGCGTGTAGTATAGGAATAATCCCACACCGTATCTGTTATTGACTGTGCGTTTAGTCGCGAAAGCGTACGGGTAATCTTACTCGGTGACCGGAACGTGAGACGGTGGTCTCGTTCGTACTTCGTGAGCCTGTGATCTCATCCGAGGTCGAGGGCAGCGTGGTCTGCTGATCTGGACGTGAGACGGAAGTCTCGTCCGTAGATGGTGCAGATGACGCGTTCTGTTGACCGGGACGTGAGAACGAGGTCTCTGATGTATCTAGCGTGGGATCCGAGGTAGACGTAGAGATTTCGCTAGAAGGTTTGATAGGTATAGCATTGAGTCTCAAGTTATCGAGTAGGGCACTGTCATCGACGTGTGCTGGTTTGAGACGATCAATGCTGACGATCTCGACGCGGCCGTGTCGATCAACCTTGAAGGTCTTTTCGTGACGAGAGATCACGTGAAAAGGACCTTCGTAAGGCTGTTGCAAAGGTTTGCGTACCAAATCTACTCGTATGAAAACATGTGAACAGGTAGATAACTCTCGAGGGAGAGCGACCTGTCGATGTTGTATTCGAGTTGACACCGGAGACAGTGTTCGCATAAATGCAGACAGTCGATGGACGTAGTCTGATTTACCGAAATCATTACTGCTCCGT